GGCTGAACTGCATTTGTCTTTGTGTTCTCTGGCTTTAAAGAGACAATGAAGCCACAGGAGTTTTTTCCAAGCTCTTCTAACACTGTCCATTTGCCATCCTCCCTTCCTCTGCTTTTTCATGCAACTCCCCCATAAACTCTTCTCCCTTGCTGCTTCCTCCCCACCCTCCCAAAAAAGCCTCCCCTCCCCCAAGACAACAGTGTTCTGGTTAAAAGTCTATATTCAGTGGTACTGAGTATTTTAATCAAAATATTTCAAGTAGTTTAACATTCCTATGTAAGTTTCCACAACGCCTCACAAGGAATGAGCTCATAAGGAAATCCATGTAGATGTATGATAAATGACCAGAAAAACAGGTTTCTTTATGTCAGCAGCCAAGGCAGACAGACACTAGGCAAACATGAATAACATTTTAATCACTATTTTTTCTCAGAAGAACACTTTCTTCTCATTTGCAACAAGCAATTTCAAGTACTGCAGGTTTGTACTGACACATGAAGACCAAACAATAAAAAAAAACCTCCCCAAAACAGGCCTGCCTGTGGCTGCTGCTAAGGGCTGAAAGGCCTGTCTTTGCCAGCGTGTCACAGCAGTCACCTCAGCTCCTCTGTTGCTAACTTCCCATGACGGGAACCTTGGCCGAATTTGAGATGATCCAGAGTTTCGCACCTCGAGCAATGTGATCTCCTCAGAATAAAATAGGGAAGAGGGAAAAAAAAGGGAAAAAAAAGGGGGGTGAGGGAGGCATTCTTGTGTGTGGGAAGAGGGAGAACTTAAGTGATTTTAGCATGACTTTTAGTCACTGCCTCTCCAAAAGCAATTACTTCATTAAACAAAGTGAAATAATGTAGCACAGCTTACAGATAACATGCTTTAAGATAATTACTATAAATAATATAGCAATTATACTGCACATATAAAAGGCTGGAGAAAATAATGTGCTAAAGAAATCAGGCTTCAGTTTATTCTGAATTAATTTTGCTAATTCACTTGTGCTTCAGAGACCTGGCTACAAATGCCAGAGATATCAAATGAACTGGAAGCCACCACTTGTTCCTTCTCTTAGCATGCCAAGTGTCAATAGCTATGTTTTGGGTACAATTTAGGAGCATGTGTTTAAATCATTTTAACCTTCCACTCCTGTTTCTTCAGCTTGAAGCTGTAATTGCTGAGGTTAGAATGTGCGGTCCCACAGCACAGGAGTCCCAAATAAATTCTTGTCTAGCTGTGAGGCTCCCAAACATGTTGTGAGATATCGTTTTAGCAAGCTCTTTGTGTTCTGCCTGGCTAGCCCGGTCCTGTGAAACAAGGGCTGTCCATTACCTACAGTTTATCATCCTGACAAAATGTGAGGAATGTGGATGTGAAAGCACTAACAATTCCACCCCTGGTGCTTTCTCCTTTTTTTCTCTCTGTATTAAAACCGACAAGATTAACCCAAATGCAAACTGCAGAGCATAGTTCAAGGGGCTATTCAATCCGTAGTGAATGTGCACTTGTTTACCTACAAAAATAAGAATTTCAGATACAATGAAAAGCAGACTAGTCTATATGCTACTGAATAGAACATTTAACAGGGTCATCAATTGTAGTTTATTTTATCAGTTTCTGACATGTTAGCATTCATTCAGAGGCGGGCTGTGAAACATCCCATATATAACTGGTTATCAGAGGGAGAGAAAAACCGCTATATAACCTAACTTAATCAGTGTCAAAGGCACCACTTGTGAGGATAACCCTCCACATGTCTGAAGAAGAACCGCCCTGCTCGCCGGCCTATAGCACGCAGGGAATAATGATACTTAGACATAAGCAATGCTCTTTTGAATGAGATTCCTCTACTGTTCCACAAAAAGGCACCCCATAACACTACGTGCAGCCCTTCGTATCAAGGGCGGTGCTGAGCCCTTGTGAGGTGAAACTGAGGTAACCCGTGCTATCTGCATACAGTGGCAAGCAAACAATGGCAGAAACAACACAGGCATAAAGTCCCCCCCCTTAAAAAGTGGTAATGGGAGTTAAAGCTACAGAGTATTTTTTCCTCAGTGTTTTCAGGATCAGGAGATCTAAAGTTCTTCAGATGATAAGTCTGTAAAGTTTACCAAGACCATCTGCAACAATGAGGTTTAACCTCCCAAATAATGAAGTCATAGGTATAATTATTTTATGGAGGTCACTTCAACCTCGTGATTTGGTCGAGGCAATAAAACAGATCTCTAAAAAGGAGGGGGGGAACAAGGGAGGGAGCTCTGTGTTCAAATAGCTACTGCATGCTCTCCATCTCAGCCACCTGCTAGAAATTATAACCTCTAGACTTCAGTGCAAAACCAATTCAGTTTATACATTCACCTTAACATAATATTTATTATTTCATACTACATATTAACCTGACTAACAACTTCTGCCAGCATTTAATTGCCTACCTGTTCAGCAGATTTATGTGTTGAGGCTTTCAATAGAGTTAAATGCACTGCTTCCCTGAATAAATTAAACAGCACCAAAGATAGTTATTATTTCAAACCTAGAAAGGAGCTTTATTATTATACCATGCCAAGATCTATTCAGCAGCTTTACTTCTCAAGCTAACATTCAGCTTGAATCCAGAGTGAGGACAATCTCATCTAAGGAGAAATTATTCACTATCCTTCAGGCAAACAACTGTGAGAAGAATTAGTAAGAAATCCTGCTCTGAGAAGTGGAGCTGCCTTACCGGCAGCAATATCAGGAATGCATTTGTAAGCCTCCTCAAACTCCAGGCCTCCAAGTGGCCTATAAATCACTAGCCCCAGCAATTGAAAAGACTAATTTTAATAGTGTACTTCTTCACTGTGGTGATTAAGCCTCAATGAATCACTCAAGAAAATTCAATTACATCAGCAACACAACCTATTTTTAAGCGTGCATTTAAGTTGAAAAAGTAATTAGATATTATCATTAGATCTACCATTAACAACATTTAAACCTTTTTTGTAATCAAACAGTTTAGAATTAACTAAATGGAAACATAAATCGTGTTTGATAAAGGAAGCATATCCTCAGGCTCTGTAAGATCGTTGAATTCAGCTGCTCGGATACTTTCGTTTCACTGATGGCTAATAAACGCGATCAAGGTAAGTTAAAAAAAGCGAAAGCAGGTTGGGGCTGGCGGAGGAGAGCTCGGATCAGCCGGCTCTTCTGCTTTGGAAGAGTGACCTCTGTAGGCACAAACCCAGCAAGGGCTAGGATGCAAAAGCCTTCCCCTTCCTCCAAGGCCGAGCCAAGGCTGTTTTCCACCAGCACAGCAGGCCCACTCCTGCAATGCAACCCCAGCCTTTGCCTTTCGAGAGCCTAAAGAGCCTTATAAAGCCCGCTTTATAACCGGCCAGGCCGCTTTATCCTCTGATGTGATGCCCTGTCTTTCTTAAGTCAAAGAAAGGCTTCAGCTATGTAGCATCATGCAAGTGCTGAGCCAGTGACTGGAGCTAAAGTTTAACAGGCTTCCCACCTGGTGCATATACAAAATGAGCATTTGTCAATTAATGTTACAAATAAAGACACCGAATTGAGTAGTCCACAGCGTTCCTGTTAGACGTTTTTAAAGAAATATCAGAAAACTATGCGGTAAAGAAGTTTTACAGAGATATAAAAAGCATTCACATTATTAAAAAAAAAAAAACCAAACAGAAATCTGTAGCGATTTTTTTCCTTCAGTGAAAACAACAGGAGATAATGATGCCTGTAAGGCAAGGCTACTTGATAAACCTGAGATGCTACTTTCAATTCAAACTTTGAAATCTTCACCAAACTCCTGGAGATCCTGCCACCTACGCAGAATTAATCCTTGATCCAGGAAATACTCCATTCATTCTTGTCTCATCACCACATAACACTTCCTCTACAAACTCCCCTGGGAAAACAAGATGTGTACTCACTGGACTTAATGGGAAATTCTAAATTCAATTAACACAGTGCATATGGCTTAATTTTAAATATCTAAACTTGAAGATAGAACATGTGTTTAAAGAAATTATTTTAACCCATTTCTGGTGTTGCATCACTGGTTTAAAACTCCCTAAACTCATTACAGACTATTTCTTCTTACTGCGATTTCTGTTTTATAAACTAGTGGTTATAATCACAAAAGTTCTCACAACTGCACAGAGCCAATTTCCACTTTGTTATGTCAAAAATTCAAGGGGAGAAAAGAGTAGCAGAATTAGCTTTTCATCACTGCCTCAGACTTCTTTTTAGAAGGACGGCCCACTTTCCAGAAGTTCCTCTTTCCAATAGCAATAATTTTGTATGCTTAAGTAAAGAGGATTTTTTTTAAAGGATACGCTTCTATTTTAAGAGTGTGCTTTAAAAGAGAAGTCCTGGGAACGCATGTACATTTTTGCCTGGGTTTGTTAATGAAGAATGACACTAAATGGTTGTGTGATGGGTAATGCTTAGTTCATTACTCACTGACATGTGCCTTGATACCATCAACTCCACAACCAAATTTAGCCCTGTTATAAGCAGATGTAACTTCGCTGGAGTCAATGGGATGAGTTTGCATCTGCAGACGGAGAAGTTGAAGAGTATCACCCTTTCCTGGTAGCCCAGGGTAGGCAGCCCGGCTCCTCCGGCCTCCGCCGCTGCTCTAGCCTGGGCGAGCCCGGACCCCGCCCGCAGGTCTTAGCCTGCTACCGCCGCCCCATTCTCCATCCCGCTCCCGGTCCGCCGCCCCCTCCCGTCGCAGCCAGCCCCCCTTCCCGGGACCCTCCCGCCGGGGACAAGGGGCGACGGGGCGCTCTGCCGTCACACAGAACCCCCGTCCTGGGGAGGGCCGGATCCTGCCGCCAGCCCTGGCCAGAGTCCCCTAAAGCCGCCGCTCACCGCTGCTGCACCCACCCCGTCCCCACGTCTCCCGGCGGCCGCGGCTGGGCTGCGGCACCGTCCCGTCCCTCCCACGCACACGGCCGCGGAGGACAGCGCTGGCCCCCGGGGAGACGGCGGACGGGAGCGGGATGGAAACTTACTTGGGGTTGGAGGAATTCCAATATATGGGGTCTAAAACGATGGACCGCGCCAGTGCAGTTCTGCATAAAACCATCACGGCTCCCCAGCAGTACTTCCAGGCGGAGGCATCTCGCCTCCGCGCTGCCATGGTCGCAGGCGGCACCGAGTCCCTCCCCGGAGCCTCGCCAACTCCGCCGTGCGCCTTCCCCCGCACCTGAGCAGCAACAGCAGGGTGGGTGCCAGGTATCCCAACAGCTGGGACGGTTAATAGGAAATAATAATAATAAAATTTAAAAAAAAAAATCACAAGCTAAGAGTCGACGATGTAGTTGGCGAGAGCTGCAAGCAGATCTACTGAGTCATGTATGCCACTCGCACGTAGGAATATCTCCTGCGAGGTAAGATCCAAGCTATCTCCGAAGTAACAGCGATAACAAAAATAATGCAAACGCCTCAGTTCTTCCTCTTACAGGGGGTCTCCCGGCTGCCTTGGAAGATGCCACTCAAACTGCCAACTCCCATTTGAATCCAGAGCGCCATACGCGTTCGCAGTGTCTTAAGGCTCGCGTGAAAAGGAGTAGGGGAAAAAAAAAAAAAAAACAAAACACCACCACACAAGGGTAAAATAAACGGTGGTAGGAGAAATACAGGGGTGAGGGAAAAGGACACAGCTTCGGCGGGAGGCTCCTCCTGCGTGTCTCTCACTGCTCCCCGCAGTTTGCAATCCGCAGGACACTAGCCCGGGCTGTTTCGGGGAGCTCGGAAACACCCGCGAGTCAATAAATCCACTCCGAGTCAGCTCCCCCGGTCCCAGGGAGGCGCATCCGCAGGGCTCCGGCTTCCCCGGGGAGCACTGCTGTCCTTGTCGCCGGCAAAGACCACGGAGCGCAGTAAGGAAAGAAAGAGAGACGGATAAGAGTAAATAAAAAGAAAAATAAAATAAACCAAAATAAAATGGGCGGTGGGGGGGTCGCAGCGTCAAATCGTCCCTCTCCCCCGTTGCGCGATCTGCAGTGCGCGCCGCGGCGGCCGACAGACTGAGGACGAGGATCGCCGGGCGCGGGACTTGCGCCGCCACGCAGCCCCACCGCGGAGGGGAAGGCGGGGAGCGAGGGGAGAGGAGCGGCGCCAGCCACGGCCGTTCCCACCGCGGCGCCTCCAACCCGCGATGTCGCCGCTCCGCTGCTGCTGCCACCCCTGCCGCCGCGGCGAGTTCCCGGCGCAGGAGCACGGCCGGCGGCAGCGCGCCGCCGTAGCCATATAAGCGCGGCCCCGCCGCCCCGCCGCCGTCGCTCATAGGGCCGCCGCCGGGCCGCCGCGCTGGTTGGGCGCCGCGCCTGTCACTTACCGCGGCGGCGGCGGGCGGGGCCGCGCCGGGCCGGGCCGAGCGGGGCCGCCAGGTAACACCCCCTGTCCCCGCCACGCCGCGCCTCGGGCAGCCAGCGTGAGTGGGGAGCCCACTCGCTGTTAGTCACGCCAGGGTGGTGCGGGAAGCACGGCGGGCCCACTCGGCGCGAAACCGGGGGGGGGGAGCGGTGGGAGGGGAGAAATTAAATAAGCATTAAAAACCAGTCTTTGCTAAAACTGTTTCCCCAGTACGGTTTACAGAGCGGGGAGCAGCTGCAGGGCCAGGGAGTACGGGGCTGCCCCGCACCCCGCTCGCCGGTGCGGGCGCAGCGCCCCGGGGGAGCGCGGCTGCCGGCGCTGTGCGGGCAAGTGCCGGGCCGTGTCCCCCTTGGCGCGGAGGTCCCCCCGCAACTTTCTGCGGGTTCCCTGCCGGGCAGAAGGGCAGGGGGTTCTCCAGCGCTCAGTCCCCACTGTCCCTCCTCCTGGCTTCTGGGAGTTCTCAAAGTTTGTCTGGTTGCGTGACAATTAAATACAGAAGAGTCGGACACGCGAAGCCCCTCAAAGGGATGCGGAGCGGCGAACAACGCGGGGCTCTGGGGTCGGGTAAGGGGTTCCCTCGCATTTCCCTGACGATTGCTCAGCACTTCCTTCCTCCCCTCCAGAGTTCGGTGGGTAAACGTTCGGACCCAATTCTTCGCGTATCCCAACGGCACGACACCCGGCCCTTTGATTTCGTTCTATCAATAATTTCTGGCCAGAGCGAGCTACCTGCGGGCAGCGCGGGAGATGCTTCCCCGGTGGCCCCGCAGGTCCCCCGGGGGGTGCGGAGGGCGCCGGGGGGTCGCGGCGGCCCCCGAGGGCGCTCCCTACGCCGCGCTCGGAGTTCGACGCGCCGCGGCTCCCGCGGCTCTTTCACGGGACCAGAGCTCCCACTAGCGGCCAGCCGCTGTCCTCTGCGGGGGGAGCGGTGCCCCCGGCTGTGCCCCTCCGCTGCTCCCCCGCGTCCTGCCGGCCCGCCGCCTACACCGTTCCCCCGCACAAGTCCCCGCGTAAGGTGAATCTGGGCGGCGGTGCGGCCGCACCGGCCTGGCTCGGCAGCACACGCGAGGGGTCCGCAACAAGGACTGTACCGAGGCTAAACACGGGTTGTTGTAATGTCGTAGTCGCTCCTGTGAAACTAAAGGGGTTACCGAATTTCTTCCAGCAGGGCTTTCTTGCCAAAATAGTATCTGCAGAAAGGATTAAAAATTAAATCCCAGGAAATTACGACGTTATTTCTGTCATTATCTTACCTTTTAGTCGAGGCACGCAAAGAACATACTACCAAAGACCCTAATAAAGAGCCAATTTCGCATAATTTTATTCCCGAAAAAATACGGACATTCACCTAAAAATCGGCTTCGTGGTGGTGCTTGTCCGGCTTTTAGACGAACGCCAAGAAGCTCTTATAAGGAAAACAACTGGCACTGTATTTTTTTCCTCGGATCAATTTTGGAAACCAGTGTTCTCTTTTCACTTTTTTTAACTAAACCAGTGTTTCAGCCTGGCAGAGCCCGCTCCTCTCGCTCGCAACAGAGGGGAAAGAAATTTGAGGCGCCCTCGAAGCCCCCTAGATTTTGTGTTGTGTTTGGTAGTTCTCTAACGAAATCTACCACCTAAGGAAACAAGGAAATCAGTTTGCTTTTCACACAAAACATCGAATACGTTTTCAGTAAACTGCTTAATTAAATTTAATTTGCAGTGAGGAAGGAATTGCAGATCCGTCAACGCAATTTGGTGGAAAAGGATCTGGTTCCCGGGACGGAAACTTAGCACTCAAGTGGGAGACAGAGCTTGGGTATCTATGCACTACAAAGGGCATCAAAGGAGAACTTCGCCAGTGAGGGAGGAAAGTACTTAATTATTAAACTTTTAAACAAATGTGTGGTGTTTTGCCGGTCGTGAGACAATGTAAACACGGAGCCCGATAAATGCTTCCAGCAACAGAGACGTGTAAAATAGGTCTACCTCAATCTCGTGATACTGCTGCTTCTGTTTGTTTAGATGCAAAAGGTTACGAGCGGTGTTTTGTAAAAACTGTGAGTAAACTGTGACCTCTAACTCTCCGTATCCTTGCTTTAAGTAAATCAGAGGAAATGAAGAGCCCTGGTATTGTCTGAAAATATCCTCCAGTATCTAAATATATCACACGACGCCTATTGTCCAGCGGCTAATCACTTTACGCAAATACAGCGGTTTTACTTTACCGTCCAGCATCCTACCGATGCACGCTGTAAGTGTATAAAAAATCGAGTTAACAAAATCACTTTTGAGTAAGAACCAAGAGAAAAACGACCACTTTATCTTAGAGATAACCTAAGCATCAAAGATTAAGACATCCAAAGAAATGGGGGCTCGATAGCTACTCCGCCCAGGTCACCCTTTTTGGTCGAGGGACCGGTCCCTGCGGCTGGGGTCGGGCCGGGGGGGCCTTTCAGCACCGCGGAGGTACTTACGGGTGCGAGCAGGGCCGGGCCGGACCAGGAGGCGGGGGGCGGGCGGGAGCGGACGGCACTCGGAGGGGCCGCGGCGGCGCGAAGCCCCCTGGCAGCCGCGCTGCGATTGCGCTCCCTGCCCGGTCCCCGCACCCTGCGCCCGCTGCATCGGCCTCCAACATTCCCGTCTCGCCTCCGAGAAGCAGCAGGGATCGCCTCGGACACGGGGGAAACGTGAGAGGTTGAGGACAGGGGTTTCAAAGCAAAAAAGACAAATGTTCGGAAGTTAGAAATCGGCTTCGGCCGCGTCTTCTCGGAGGGCTATTTCAGGAGGAGGTTCCGGCAGACATTTCGGGTTTCGCAGGGAACGCGGTTTCCTGACATAGGAACTCTCAGGGGACAGGCTGCTGGGGGAAATCCTGCCGCGGCCGCAGGAGCGGCACCGCAGTTCCCCGCCGCCTGGGCGGTCCGGCTTGGCGTGAGGATGGACACAAAAATGGACAGACGAATGGATGGATAAGTGCGAGCAGCGAACAGGTGAGACTCACCTATCCCTTTCCTTCACTGAAAAATTGGGACTCTGCCGTTTTCTGTACCTCAGCCAGGCTTAAAACAAAAAATCGGGTTTATCGCTGAATAACCCTTTTCGTCTTCTTTTGGACGGTGACATGAGCAATAGTTACATAGACATTTGCTCTGGTCCTACGAAATCCATAACAAAAGGCAGCTAATCTGAATGGGATCAGGATCGGGCCCACAATCCCTGATTTGCTTTTAAACATCAGTCTAAACATCGACAATGAGAATATATGGGACATAAATTTTTTTATTAAGTGGAAAAGCTCACCATCATTAATCATTACTTAAAAATGTACCAATTTTAAAAGTCGAAAATATATTACTCAATGGATACAATTACTGCTAAATTTAATAAAGAGAAATTATCACAATTGATGCTTACTGACTTTAATGGATTCTTTATCATTTCTCCAAAGGGCAAGTGTGCCAGATACTTGAAACAGCTCTTCACACCACAACAATGCATTTTCTGCACTTATGGTAAATACATATCTGGATGTTAATTTGCCTTCTCCAGGTCTATTTTATAACTGCAATTTTGGTTAACCATAGCTTCTTAGAAAATGAGCTTGGCTCCTCCTAAATACAACCATAGAATTCTAGCAGCCTTATAGAAATCAGAAAAGAAGTTCATACACCTTAACCATGCATTTTGTTTGACTTATTTTTATACCAATTCTCAGTAGCACTCTGCAAAACCAAAAATATTTACATTATTATGTGGTCTGAGTGATATGAGTGGTAGGAAAAAGCACCTGGGATCAAACTTCTATGCGCCTATCCCTTTATTATAAAAGGGGGTTCATGTCCTGTTGAGCAGAGCTGATGCTGAATCAGCATAACCCTTGATTTTAAGTGTCAGTCCAGGGAGAATGATCGGAAGCATGAGGTTGTTCAGTACAGAGACATCAAAAGGCTCAGCACTCTTCAGCTGGCTAACAAAAGAGTGGGATGGGGAGATGGAGATAACCCTGAAATGCATGTGTGGTGGCACCAGGATGAGAATGGAATACAGATACATGAAAGTCATGGTTCAACTCCAGCCAGACTGGCCTGTCAGTCCGAAACCATACCAAACCAGGCACTTCGATCATATCCTCCTGCCTTGGAATGAGCCTTAGGCACACAGGCAGCTCCGCAGTTCTCTTCTGAAATCAGTCTCCTCTGTAACACAGCCTGGAAGGTGTTAGTATTAACTTGAATTTCGCCTGCACTTGCACCAAGACCCTGTAATGACAGAGCTAAGATCCCAAATGCTCTGAAAATGTTTAATGAGATACTGTGTGCAGTTTAAAGTGAATAACCAACATCTCCATATTTGGTGTACGTCCAAAAAATGGCACGTTAGTGGCATCACAAAGAGGGGATTACCAGCTTCACGTCAGCTAGAGAAAGACAGAGGATGAGGTGTATGAGATGGCACAAAGCTAAAGAGAAAAGGAGAAACATCAAAGGTAAATCCTTCTCTTTCAAGACAAGGTAGGAATGGATGAACTATTGATACTTCAGTGAGATTATACAGAGGTACGCAGTTCCTTGGCAGTATAGATATCTCACCGACCTAACTGTCTCTGCTTTGCTAAGCTTCAAGGATTCCATCTCTCCAGTGCATTTCACAGCAGCCAGCTGTCAACTTGTACTTGGAAAAACAATGATAAATGAACATGGGAATTAGCAAATTGCCAAAGTAAGAGCACGTTTAGCATGCTGCTCTAAGGCCTTCCATGCTCCTGCCTTTGCCAGACA